CAACAAATTTTAATTTTTGTATATCGCATTTGTCAAGAGTTTTTAATTAAATTTTTTGTTTAATTTCAGTCAGTTTTTTAAATAATAATAATAATAAAAACAATATAATTCAAAAAATAAAAAAAGATTCTATTTTAAGGGTTTTGAAAGCTTGCAAGCAGTAGTCCCGCGGAGTGATAACTTCACCTTGACAAAGAGCTAGATGTTTGTTTTTCGAGTTTCAACGTGTTTTAATATATCTAAATTGCAAAATTTCTTTTCACACTCCATTCATCAAAGTTACTGATTAAAAATCTATATGTTTACAAAAAGCGTGAGTCATTGCGTAATTATATTTATCTCAGATATTTTTTCGTATGAGATCATATCTATTGTCTTCTTTATTTTAACTTGCACGGCAAAATCAAAATCAAAAATAATTGATAAAATAAATTCACATTTACAACTGAAATTCAAGTTGATATAATTTTACTTTGAATTTTCGATGTCTTTATTTACTTTCAACACTTCGGAAAWATTTTTTTAACCAGGAGAAAAATTCTCATATCCTTCATGAAGTTATAATTCACTTTTAATTTCATCTTTTTAATTCAGTTGATTGTAGACTTTATAAAGCAAACGAATGAATTTATCAGAGGAAATATCGACATATCGTTGTCATGGGAACTCGAGAAACAGGTGACATCTAGGACATAGAATCTTTAAATTGAAGGACCAAGTGATTTGGAGTTTAGTTAAGAGGAAGACGCATGCAGTTTTTCAGTTTGCTAGCTTTGCTAATAATGGAGCAAAATCTTTCAAACGTATCTACTCCTCCAGATACTACAGTCGACTGCAAAGATGCACAAGCACCGACAGAACTGTCGTTTCTGACATTCTCGTTGTCTCTTGTCTTCTTTTTCGTGGTAGTTTCTGGAAATTCATTGGTAATCTTGGCAATTTTTAAGGATCCTTATAAAGAACTGAAGAAAAAGCCTTTCATTTTGCTAGTTGGGAATCTAGCCTGTGCAGACCTCATCGTTGGACTTGTTGTGGTGCCTATTTCCGTGGTATTGCATTTCATGGAAGGGCTTGGGGAGTCAATTTTGCACTTTTCATGGGTCAAACTGCTACACTTGTCTTACTTCGTTTCCTGCACCGCCTCATTACTCAGCATGGCCGTTATTACCATCGATAGGCATATTGCAGTTGCCTACCCTCTTCGCTATAAGTCCAGTGCGATTTCCAAAAGACCAAGAGTGATTTTTGTCATGATTTGGGTCTTTGCCATAAGCTTACCATTTGTGTACTTCAAAGTAGGCTACATCAGATACGCTTTTGTCTTCGGGAACATAGCTATTTGTGTAACTGTGTCATTTTTGATTTCTTGTGTATATGTACTTCGAAAAATATCTCGAAATTCCAATGCTGAAGGTGCGAGAGCTAGTCAGAGAAGCGAGAGAAATGCCAGAGCCGAAAAGCATGTAACAAAGGTCTTTTCTCTTGTTTTGGTGGCATACCTATTATGCTACTTACCATCATGTTTAATTATATACGTGATGAACTTTTGTAGTTTTTGCAGTTGTGAAGTTATACACTGGCTTCGAGATATRCAGTTTATTCTTGTCTTGTTGAATAGCTGTTTGAACCCTATTCTCTACTCGTGGCAGATGAAAGCTTTTAGAAGTGCTTTCAAGTCCTTAATCTGTGGTTCCTTCGAAAGAGCTCACCTCAATAGCAGCCTATCCTCTCAGCTGCCATCGACGTTTTCGAACGAGCCAAGTATCCTCAAGAGGGAGACTTTTAACCCTGAAGTGCAAACAAACTGCCAGAGCATAGAAAATGTTGAACTTGATGAGTTATCGCTTCGTAATTCCTTGTCCAGAACAAGTCCGACTACAAATAAGAATATCATTCTATGTTTTGAGCAGAAAATCGATATGGAATAAGAATATATAGTTATAAACTTTTCATTTTAAAAGGTGTAAATTTCAAGAGAATAAAAAGTAAATAAAGATAAAGAAAACTCATTAGAAGTGTCACTTTCAGAAAAAATGCTTTAAAATATCGGATAGTTTTTCCACATTCGGGAAAGGCGTGGGGCAGGGTATGGAGTCACCAAAATTTAAACTTTTCATAAATTCGGCACTCACTCTTCGCGAGAGTTGCGAAAAAGTATTGATTGTATTCAATTCTTACGTAAAAAGAAATATGGCTGTTCCATAAAAGTTCAGTATAAGTTTGTAGATATTTACTCAGGTGTTAACCGAAAACTTTAAGATTATCCTTAATGACCATCACTACATAAACATTAGTAATACATTCACCGAAAAATAAAGTGTTTCGTAATTCCAATCGAGGAAGAGCTGAGAATCCAGCCTTGTTCTAAATCTTGAAAGGTGCGAATTTTGGGATTTATAACCGGCCATCCTCGATCGTGTGGTGATGGCAACCAAACCCTTTTTTGTCCTTTTTCTTTTTTTTCAATAAACCACCTGTCGTCAACAGTCAGCTTGATTGTGCCCATCGCAGTTGTTTGTCGTACCTCTCCTTATTCTTATTCTACTCGATTTTATTCAAAATGAAATCCAATTATTTAGAATTTAATGATTCATTCATTATTCATTTATTATTTATAACTTTCACAAAAGAAAAGAAAATTGGAATAAAAATTATAATCAAAAATTAAAGGAACACTGAGTTCAAAAACCTGTAAACTTTTGCCGGCGCAGCAAGAAAAAAAAAAGCTTGCACGTTAAAAATAAAAGATTGTATATAATGCATCCTTCTTCCTTCACAAGTTTAGTTATCTTTCTGGAAATTAAAGGGCAGCCTTCGTCAGTATTTAATACATAGAAAAATATGATAGCCAGCCGTTATTAAATTAAAATTCGCTAAATAATTATTTGCTCAACGACACTCGGGCTCGCACCGAACATATAGCTTAAGGTTTCGATTCCGGAACTTGAGGAACATTCTCGGAACGTTTAAGTCAAAGCCTTTAACTTCGCAACGGTAAAAACGGGCGTTGACGGGAAAAAGCGTCTTATAATTGAGGGAAAACAAAGGAGAGAATAGGAAAGAAGGTAAAGAAAGAATGAAAATAAGAACAAACAAACATGTCAAACAAAGAAAATGCATTGAGTTTACTTTCCAAGAAAATACGTCAAAAATCTTCAATGGTATACCAGAAAATTAAACACAAGGAACAGTAAGAACTAAAAAGTACCCTTAAAAGTACTTTAAAACTAACGAAGCAACATCTTTAACAGAAAAAATATTTTTCTGTCTTAGATATCATACGTTGTGAATGCTTGTATTGAAGAAACATATAGTAATTGAAACGCGCGCCGCGGGGGTTGGCAGAACACGAGAGAAATTCTGCTAATCCCCAAGAGATAATCTATAAATGCACACATCATTGCAAACACGTTTTTTATCTCTTTTATAAAATACGAATAGAAAACGCACGCGGGGGTTGGCAGAACACGAGAGAAGTGTTAGGAGAAGCACGACGCGTAGCAGATTGCTTCTCGACACTTCTCGAGTGTTCTGCCAATCCCCCCCAAGTGTTTTATAACTCCACACAGCACAGCAAGCAAGTTTCTTATTTCTTTTATAAAATACAAATTACGTAAATGACGAAACTGTAAGTGCGCACGCATGCTGCTGTGCGCTCTCATGAAGTAGGCGCTCCTAACCAATCAGATTGCGAGATGTAGAGCAGTTATTTTATAATTAAATATATTTCACTTCAAAGGTTTTTTCACACAAAATTTTATTAAATCGATCAACATTCATTAAAATTTAAACTATAATATTCTAAGATTAACGACAATGTAATAATTTTTTTAGTAAATAATTGGTTTTTTTTCCTCACTAAAAAATTGACAAAGTTGAATATTTAAAAAACTGCTTCCAAAAACGTTTACTTGGCTTTCCTAAAATCATTAAAAGAATCGTACAAAATGGCGGACTGAAATATCAATAAAACAAGAATCTAATTTTCAAGAATTTCGAGTCATTTTGTTATAGAAATAAGTTTGTTAGTTGAACTTTTTCTCTCGTATTATGAGCGTGAAAAAATCGCTAATATTTTGAAGGCGAAGAGGAATGGACCAGGGAGGAGAGATAAACGACTATAAAAAAAGAAAGAGCGCAAAATTTAGGGAGAAAAACATGATTAGCTTTTTTGTTCATTTGCGGAGGAAGAAATGACAGAAAAATCGTATAATTGAAGTGCTTTATAATTTATACAAGTATTTTATAACTAAAAGTGTCCAAATTGTGTCAAGTAAATTGTGCAGTAGTACTTCAAGAGGAAGAAATGACAGAAAAATTGTTAGGGGAGAAAAATGACATATTAAGGACGGAGGATATTGAAGTGCTCCAAACTTTATACAAATATTTTATAACTAAAAGTGTCCAAATTGTGTAAAGTTCGGAGCTTTAAGTAGTGGTTAAAGCCTTCAGGGTAAAATAAGAGCATTAGTCGATATAGTTTCACTCCTAATTTAGCTGTTTACTTTCAAGAATTATTTTTCGTTCTACTGCAGTAGTACGTCCAATATATTTCTACTCAATCTCCACTTGAAATCTTGTTAACGACTTGTCTTATTTTTTCAACATTTTTCCAGTCAATAGTCCTGAAAAAAAATACAAAATCATTTATCTATGCACTTATTCAAGAATTAGATTGGGTTTCAAATTTCAAAGCTTGCATGACTGTTCATACTGTTCTTTCTGTTCCCATTTTTATAGAATGATTAGTTAATTCCCCGGACTTTTCCATTCGTTTAAATTACACTTGTTAGTGTTTTGTGTCTTTCTTATCAAACCAAATCAAACCAAACAAACCAGCTTTGAGCAACATAAATCAGAATAGATATATGAAACATCCAGTCCAACCTCGGACACAAAAACAAAAACTGTCAACAACAACACTAAACAACAACTCAATCTTCCAATATATATGAAATGAGTTCCCTGTGTTTAGAATTCCTGCCTGTCCTCTGGCTCACCTGCCTGTCCATTGTCACAAGATCAATTAGTTTTATGTCCTTATTCACCGATATCTGCATCATCTGCCGCTCCAACTTCTGCTGATGGTCCTGGAGGCCCCTGGGGTCCTGCAGGCCCCATATCTCCAGGGGGGCCTTGTGGTCCCATATCTCCAGGGGGGCCTTGTGGTCCCTCAGGTCCTGGATTTCCAATTGGTCCTGCAAAGAAACATCGCTTAATATGAAGTGTAAGGTCAAAACAACTGTCATCTTACTGGACCCGAATTATGTGGGATGAGTCACCCATTAGCTATTACCTCTAGAAGTGAAAACCTTGGATTTTGTCCTCAAATTGTTACCAAAAGGACCAAATTGCAAAAAATTAAGGTACTGCCTGGTTGAATGTATGATTTGGATGGATGGATGGATGGATGGATGGATGGATGGATGG